TACAATGACTAAAACATCAGTAGGCCCTTTGTAATTTAACAACGTAAGCCAAGAGAAGCCTATTAATTGGCCCTATTTGAAATGCAAAAAAAAAAATATTCACACTGGTGTTTAGGTTAAAAAAAAGAAGAATATCTGCTATTAAATGACTGTTATCTGGGGATTCAATACTTGCATGTTATATGTGAGGCTTTATCAATGTGAGGCTTTATTTTTACGCTTTTGGCGCGTTAATAAACTTGCATTTATTAACAGAATAATGCGTCTTTCGGAAAGAACAGTGTAGCCGGAACTACTTCTCTCTGTGTACGTCTATGACGAGTCACGCAGGTACTGTAGTACTCCGCAGCGGCAGCGATCCGAAATAGTCCCAATGTAAACACTTATAATAGGTGTACCATAGTGGTTCAGGATAAGACAAAAACACGGATTGATGATGAACTCACTCATTATATACATTTTGTAAAATTTGAACAGAAAAAAGTTAAGGACTTTTATTTAATGCTCATTGCTCAAACCCCCACAGAGCTCGCTGAGGCCCCCTTGTGGGCCGCGACCCCCCCTGTTAGGAACCGATGGTCTAGACGCTGTTTTATGTTAAATCTTCTATTTTTCTCTCATTTTGTGGTAAAATTGTTCTTATTTTTTCATAGTTTATCTGGAGCTCACTTCTCTCTCTCTCATGCTTCACTATCAGAGGACAGCATCCATCACAAAAGCATCTCTGTGTGTGTGTGTGTGTGTGTGTGTGATCAGCAGGTGGGTCCCTTGAGCCCTGAGCAAACACACAGGTGGGCTCAGACTATCAAAACACCTTCCAGCACGATCCAAAAACTGCGTTTTCCAGTGCATCACAGCCAAACACACACACACACACACACAACAATCACCAGATCTCAACGTTTGCTTTAGAAAACGTGTAAAACGTTGGCTGTTTCTTCTTGTTTTGCATGAAAAGATCTGAGATCCCTCTTTCATTTCTAGTTTTCTCATCATAAGTCTGATCTCATTCCTAGTTCTCTCATAACTGATGAACTTTGCGATGTTAACACGGTTATTGAACTGAACTGAATCAACATTGAGCTGAATTCTGTAGAGCTGCTTTTACAGCTGAACTTCACAATTATTGAACAGAATTGAATCAACATTGAACTGAATAATGACACTGTTGCTGAAACTTTACAATTTCTAACAAATTGAATCAAACTGTTACTGACAGATTCAAGAAATAAAGCAGACTTCAGACGCGACCATTCTCTCCAAAACTCGAAGAGCAACAGTAATGCACAAGCTTTAGCAAAACATTTATGTGTTTACGTCCACAAATAAGTCAGTGATGTACAGTGTGACTTACATTCGGCTGCTGAGGGCATCGACGGGCCGGCCGTGGTGCGGGACGGGAGAACACAGTAAGAACAGAGCAAAGACCCAATGCTGGAGAGCCCGTCTAGTACAAACCATCCTCATCCTCAGCGGACCTGAGCAAACACACACATCACACTCGTCAGTGCCAACGGGTCAGCTCTACGCCTGTCCAAAGTGGCATTTAGCATCTCGTTCTTGTGACGCGGAAGGTGAATATGTTCAGTTCAGTCTCATGCATTAGAAATAATAAGCTTTTTTTGTGTGTGTGTGTGAACATTTCAATGATCTATGGAGCCGTCTTGCACTATAAAGCACCTTTTGTGCAATGAAAAAGTCCACCCATCTTACTCAGCATTTTTTGCCTTGTTTTCCAGTGCAAATATCGAAATATTCTTCAAATCAAGACACATTTACTTCAGAGCATGTTATAGTTAGTAAGCGAGTTTATGCATGAAACAATAAAAATACCTGTCGGCGGGGTTAGAAAAATGATTTTTAATTTAGTTTTTTTAATTTTTAATTTTAATTTATTTTTAATTTAATTTTTTTTATTTTTTATTTAGTTTTCCATTTTAATTAGTTATTATTTGACCCTCACTGGAAGATTAAAAAAAATGGTTTTAAGCATACACTTACTCAGCATTTTTTGCCTTGTTTTCCAGTACGAATATCTAAACATTCTTAAAATCAAGACACAATTTACACTTCAGAGGCAACATTTGATAAAAAAATACAGTGAGTGAGTTTATGCATCTTGTTTTTTAGATGCTCTTTCTATTCGTTTTAAGCACAAACATACTTCATTTTGATCCATTTTCCAGAAATCAAGACAAGTAGTTTTGCTTCTCAAGTTAACGTTTCTTGATTTAGGAGTGTTGAGACATTAGTTGAAGCGAATAGATGTTCTTAACACTGATGAACCTTTATTAATGAGTGCTTTTCTCCCTCCACATACTGAAGAAGAGTTAGCTTTAACTTAAACCAGTTCAACATGTTGGAATTCCAGTAAGTCCACAACAAAACCCCCAAAAGCCCCATGATGAGCAACAGGAGAGAAACGTACTCACAATGATGTCTGTGTCTCGGTCTCTTCTGTCCTGCGAGACAGAGCGCGAGTCTCCTCAAAGTTTCCAGGCTGCGATCAAACACACAAACAAATAAAAAATCAATGAGTCCAGGTGAACGAGTCCTTCAGCATTACGTCTGAGATGATCTCGACCACTAACGCCACGAGAATCCAGAGGAGCGTGTGTGTGTGTGTGTGTTCCAGGTGGTCTGTCCTGCACTGACTGACTCAGTTCTGTTATAGAGGAGTCAGATCAACCCACCAATACTGTGATGGGAAACTTTCTAAACTGTCTTTGCAGGAGAGAGAGAGAGAGAGAGAGAGAGAGAGAGAGAGAGAGAGAGAGAGAGAGAGAGAGAGAGAGAGAGAGAGAGGGAGGTGACGACTGGGAGTCCTAACAAAGACTCGGGAATCAACTCCTCTGTGTTTACATGAGAGACAGATGTGGCAAAAGAGCGGCAGAAGTCTTTCAGGAGAAATTCTTTTCTTCTTATATACACTCTCAGGAAACATTTGGGCTCCCCAAAGACCCCGGTGGTTTTAAAAAGAAACCGTTTGAAGAGTGTGAAGAAGAGCATTTTAAAGTCGCCCTATGGTGAAAATCAAGGTTATAATGAATGTCTATGTGGTGTTTTTAATACGCTTTAAGACACACCATGTGTAAATTCATAAATCGACAGCATTGCTGAGTATTTCCTCCTTTAAACTGCAGTGAACCAAAGTAATAATAATGATTTGATCCCCTTAAACTCATCTTTGATCACCAAAATGACATATTTAAAGGGGTGATGAACTGAGAAATCAAATTTTCCTTGAGCTTTTGACATCTAAGAGGTCATCATATTATAGGAATATCCTGTAAGTTTCAGAACTGAAAACGTCCTTGTTAGTCCAATAAAAGCTTTTATTGACACCAGCCTCTGAAAACGACTCGTTTTTAAAAGTGGGAAACTATGACGTTGAAGGGGTTAAAACCCCACCCCCCGGCCGGTTTAGCCCCGCCCACCGATTCACACATTACACGCATAGCTAAGTAGCCTAACATACATGCCTACTGTAAAAATGAATATGCTTTATCTAATCAATAAAATTGTGGCAACAGATTACAAGCAATATTATTTATTAAATTGAACAAATTAGAATTGAGTAATAGTTAATTAAATTAACATTCTAATTAATTCTAATTTGCACAATTTAATTAATAATATTGCTTGTAATATGTTGCCACAATTTTATTGATTAGATAAAGCAGATTATTTTTTTCAGTATGATGACAAACCGGATCGTTCTACCGAGCGATACAGAATATTGTGCAGTGCTGGTTGTGGAAGAAGACAGTCGCTGCATAAGCTTCCAATAGGACTTAATGGATAAACTTTATTTTTAATGACGTTCCAGCTGATGAGGGTAAAACATCGTCGTCTGTTCGCTTCATTTCACTGAGGATTGACTCTTGGTCGAACATATATGGGCGAATCCGGTTGCCATTTGACAACATTGGACGTTTTCCCCCACGTACACTGACGGGTGAGTTAAACTCATTATAATATGCAAAATTGTTATCACTCACAGCAGTGGGCGTTTATTTCCAAGTCTTCAGTGCGACACGCCCATAAAAACCGAGCGTTTTCAGGAAGGCTCACAACTTGGGTACAAAATAGCCTATTACTTATTCATTTTGATGTTTTTGAATGCAAAAACCAAGCGAACGTCATAAATTGAGAAGCTCAGACAACAATATAATAAAATTTTAAAAGCCAGTTCATGACCCCTTTAAACGTTTTTTCACTGAAATGTCTTAAAATATCTTGAATGTAACTCGACACCCTTGCCTCATTTAGTATGCCTGGTTCTATGAATATGCAAATGAGCCCCGCCCCCACTCACTCACTCAGAGATCCACTGGTTGACGATCACACGTCGATCTGATTGGTTACAGGGTCGTTTGTGACGCCAGCGATTTCAAACCGTGTTTTTGAGACTGTCTTTGTTTGGTACTCAGCAATGCTGTCGACTATGTCTTCAAGCATATTAAAAACACCACATAGACAACATCATAGTTGTCATCCTGGGTGTGAACTGAGTAAAATCATTGAGCCAAAATGAAGAATTTCAGACATTTAGTTATTGCATTGAATTGCAAAACAATTCTAAAATAAAATGAGTGCAATGAGCTCTATTTCGTAATAATAAAAGCAGTCAACTTTCTTTAACCTTCACGTTAGCTACTTTTATAATTGGTGAGAAAATTTCTTCTAACCCTCCTGAGGACCGCTGGACTCCTCTGTAGTGAAAGGTAAGTCAGTTGACATTTGGGGTTAGTAGGAAGTCATCTGTGCGCTAAAGCTCCTCAGGTGATGTAGTTTGTCAGCTTGTGTGTGTGTGTGTGTGACTGAAGGCTATTGTTGGCCTTTCGGTGCCAGATTTCAGACACGCGTAAGCAAAGACATTTTCCACACTCCCTGATCTTTAGCTTTGGCCGGCCGTGAGCGCTTGTCACTCAGCAGATTTCTGGTGCAGTAAGGGCTTCTTTTGCATCGAACTTTCTATTTTTTATAATATTTATATGTGTGATGGTGGATATTTCAGCCCAGATCATCATCAGAAACACAAGAACGTCTCGAATGAATTTTCCAATCTGGTTACCGTTAGTTAGAAGCATCTAACTAATTATAAAGCAGCAACAATCTAGGATCACTTAGTTAGTTAGTCATGTGTAAAGATTATTGACTTCCTCAAACGTTTTTAAACTAGCGCCAGATCTTTACTTTCATATTGTGACGTACATCCGAGTGTAGCGGATTATCGGGGGTGGGACGTGGTTCTATGCGTCGGTTGTTGATTGGATGTTGAGATGTGGACGTGGCACTCGAGTGTATGCAGATGAGCATGAGCTGAAAGGGGCGGAGTTTAAGCGGATTAAATGATTGGAGGATCCTGTATACGTCACCAAAAAGAAGAAAGGTTAAAAAATAAGCTTTATGGAGTTATCCAAAAAAAAACTGCATTATGCATATAGACAATACTCATATGGCATATCAAGATGCATAACGTAGGTTTGACATCAATAGCTGCGTTTTTAAAATTCTTCAAATTGCAAAAATTGAAATTGCGAATTGAAAAAAAACGCCGAATGGAACGTCAATTTCTTAAAAACTCCCATATATCGCTAATAAGTTACGCTCGCATGAGGAGGTTTTTCAGGTAATTCGAAAAAGTTTGCAATGTAAACAGTTTTTTTCGCATTTACAGGTCACATGATGAACGTAACAGTCAATCATTCTTTAACGAAGCCACGGTGTGTTTGGACAGAAGACGCGACAGTTCTTTATTAAACTCATAAAAAACGAACGACAAACAAATACCACAATTTATCAAGACCTTGACGCAGATATGAGGGAGAAACACCCAGAAACTCACAGTACACTTTCCTTGTCATTAATGCTTGGATAACACAACTACGTCTTCTTCCATTAAAAATAAAGGTAAATGCAGTTGCAGTGGCGAGTTAATATACATAAACCAACCAACATCCGTTTTTAGAATGACTAATGATCATTTCGCAATAGTTTTTTATCGACAGTTAGAAATTATCAGAACCGTTTTGCGCAAATCTGTAATGGAAACACGGCTAGTGACACCAAACGCCGTTGCCCTCACACTTACACCATAATATTTACAAATGTAGAGTATTTTAGTGACTTTACTATAGTACGACTTCAGAAGAGTTATAATGCGCACAAATCTTGTGTACTACTTTTATAACCGGGTTTATTCGGTTCGTTTTAACGGCCATTTTCCCACCTTAGAAGAAAAATCGATAACACTTAATTTTACAATGTTACATATAGTAAGTATAGTAATAACAGTAAATTATGCATAGTTAATGCAACTAACCCTAACACCAATTCTATAACCTTATAATGTAACTACTTAATATTACTCATGTACAATTACTCTGTAACAGAGACACCTTAAAATAAAGGGTTACCCTTTATTTTAAGGTGTCATTGTTACATTTAAGTAAGGAGTCATATTAATGAACTACATGTGCTTACTATAGGATTAGGGCTTGGTTGAGGGTTATTTGGATGTAATTATGCATAATTTACTGTGGTAAGTACATGTAACATATGTAACAATGACAAGTGTTTCCCTTTAATGGTTAAAAGAGATCGTTATGTATTATTATCACACTTAATTGCGGCACTATTTTGGTCTGTGGACACTGGCAGTTTTTATGTGTTAATTCTTAATCTGAATCACATCCGAAACTTCCTCTTTCCCAGAAGAGTGACTCATTACCGCTTCTCATTCATCAAGGTTAATTGATTTTCACAGCTGTCTTGTACATTAGTGTCCGTCCCACGCACAGATGTGTGCGGAGAACTCGAGGAATCCTTCCGGATCTGATCCAGTCACACACAACTCTCACATCCTCACTAATCAATCAGAAACTCATGCGACTCAAGTGTCCATTTAAACATGAGGTTTGCAACAAATTAAAAGTTTGCAGTGATGACGGAATTTCGTAAACTGAAAAAAATAATAATCATAATGATATAAATATAAAATATTATAATAAAAAAGTGGGTTCCTCGCAAAAACTTGGATTTTATCACAGTTTATGATTATTATACGTTTCGTTCATCTTCACAAACAAAAATTGGGGCCGAAATACAATTGGCAGAAGTAATAAGCTAAATTAAAATTACAATTTTGATTTTCTCTTGAAGATCTGTGGAATAATTTAAACGAAATGTCTGTGTGTGAGTGGAAATCTGTCATCGTCTGGACGTGTCTGACTCTCGGCTCACTTGTGTTTAAAGTCAACACGAAATCAAAACAGACTCTATTTACTTTCTTAATTCATGTTTCTGGTCTTATTGAGAATGATTCACCAGTCTATACATTATATAAACAAAATGTCTTCATATTCATTATCAAAATATAATAACTTGTCATTGATAATTTCCTAGGTTTCTGTCGCTGTCATTCACACAGAAATACTTCAGACTACATGTTAGTGTTTCATGCTGGCTGTAAACCACTAAACGTTGTGTAGGTAT